GTTTTGGGTCTGTGGATTATGGACATTTTTACAGTTCTTTTTTTAATTGAGCCAGCCTTTTTTTTTCTTTGCTTTTTTTTCTTTCCGGAAGACCATGTAATTTTCTAAATAAGACCTGATTTGGGTCCACACACCGCAGCTTGGGATACCCCTCCCCGGAAGTGGGTGGTGGAGTCGCCGTCACCACACTAGTCAGACCACCATCGACACAGAGTCTGCTGGGATGAAGCTAGGCACCGGAGAACCACAGGGATTGATCCGGTTCTGAGGCCGAACGCCGTCCTGGTGATCACGCGGTGAAGCGATCGGATTGTTTAAAGGAGAAGGAAAGAAAACCCTGAACATCGCCAACATGATGGAGGAAATAGACAGATTCCAGGTACCGAGCGCGGTGCAGGAGGCAGAGATGCAGTCCGAGATGCAGCCGCTGGTGAGTCCCTGGGGTCTGCTTTACGTTGCCTAGAGATGATGTCTCTGCCGTCTGTCACGTTCGTGTTTTTAAATAACATACAATGAGATTAGAGGATGTGTATCAAATGAGGCCTGTACCCAATCCATCACACACCGGGAGTTAATGCTGATGTAGTTTGAGCCTCTGTAAGTTTTTAACAGGCACTATGGTTCATGGATATATATTTAAAAAAAAAAAAAAAAAGGTAGTTGTGAACACTGATGTGGCTGACGTGTTCAGAAAGAGGAATCCTTGTTCCTCTGTGTCACGCAGGCACCGTCCGGTCTCCTGCGCAGCATCCGTCATGTCTGGCGTAAACAAGCATCCCGTCCTGAGTCTCTGCTGCTGCTGCTGCTACATCACCTGCATCAGCAGCAGGTTGCTCTCTCTTCGACGCCCCTCGCTGCACTTTGACTAGATTAAATCGGGATCTATTGTTTGTTGCCTGCATCAAATCAAACCCACGCCTTTTGATGTAATTCGGGGTAGTTCGCTACAGCGGAGCGCTCTGTGGCCTGTAGCGGAGCCCCGGGATACTGCAGCCCGCAGGGCGGCCTACGCTGCCCAGCTCCGACCAGACGAGACTTCTGGGCAATCTGATCTGTTCTCTGTAGGCGTCCACGGTCTGCCATTAATCACCGGGTCCCATGTGAATACTGAATCGGGGCTGTTCTCTCCCTACAATACATGTTTTATTCGAACTGAATAAATAATAATAATAATAATAATAATAATAATAATAATAATAATAATAATAAAATTTCTTATATCTGGGGCATGAATAGGGCTTCTTGTAATTTTTTAAATTGTTGTAGTTTTGTCAAGTGGTCAAAAGAAAGGAACTTTTTTTTCATCTTTTATTATATACATAATATTCAATGGCAATGTTTCTTTTGCTTATTTATTTTATCCCATATCTTGTGTTTTTACATTAATAAATCTGATATTAAGATGTTCAGTTATTATTATCATCACCATCATCATCATCATTATTATTATTGTTATTTTTATTAGTAGTAATAGTTTTATTATTTGCAAGACTAGTTTGACATCTATTTAGTGCATAGTTTAATGATAGGAGAAGGTTTCTCTGTTCAATCAGTTTGTTAAGATACAGCAACAATATTAACCTGCAGCCTGCAGGACGGCCTCCGCTGCCCAGCTGCAAGGCCGTGTTGCCCCTGGTGAAGTTTCATAACATGCTGGTCAGTAATTGTGTTTGTTAAATGGCAAATAGAATTCGAATTGTTCAGAGTTGACCCTCTGAATACACTCTATGTAGATTTTGATTTGCCACGTAACACAATGGCATTTTAAGCATTCCATCAACTTGTTCATAATGTTTCTAGTTGGTTTTGGCAGCTTGTTTTTATTACAACTGAGACCTTTGTTTTACTGAAAGTATGAACCTTATGCATGACATAGAGAAACCAGCACATATTTAAGGAATTGCAGCATCATCCTTTTTTCTTTTTTTTTTTTTAAAAGTCTATTGTGTTTCCTTTTTTAATTAACATCATCAAAAAGTACTTAAAATCGCCCTGTATCCTAGCATATTGTTTTCATAGCGGACAAAATGATATGAATAATTAATGTTGGGAACAGAATTATGTATTTGTGCTCATCTTTCTGTCTCTGGTGGGGTTTTTTTTCTCTTTTCAATCCAGGACCCGGCTTCTTCTACTGCCTCAGAGGCAGAGTCCGACACCAGAGAAGGAGAAGCTGTTACTATCAACTATAAGCCCTCACCCCTCCAGATGAAAATAGGTAAGAAATATGTAGGAGTCAGCAAATATGTGAAAAATGGACAATAAACATGATTAAAAGATTTGAAGTTTTTAATTTCATTGTTAATCATTTAGGAATGAAGTGACTGAATGTTACCAGTATGGATTATTATGTCAAGTATTTGTGTAATCATTTGGTTTTTAAAACATTACAAAATGTCAGCTGTGAGTTCCCTTCATCCAAGCAGTAGCTCAGCTGATTTACCAAAATAAAATAAAAAAAAAATAAAAAAATGACAAAAATAATTAACATAGTTTCAGCACCCTGGACAGAGTCCAGTGGTGAACAGCAGCAGTGTCATTATCTGTCAAGTGACTAAATCCAGGAGAACGGTGGGCAGAATGTTTTTTTAAAAGCTTGTCAGGAAGAAAAAAAAAGTGATGGAAGACCAACAGCAACAAAATCCAACGTGAAATCTGAACGGTGAACAAAGACACAAGAGCAAAAATCGGAGGTATCAAATTAGGGAGTACAATTAGTGGTACAAAGAACAATGTCCTGCATGGTTTAGCTCTATCCCTGGTTCAACACACCTGAATCAAATGGTGGTTCATTAGCAGAACCTCTGCAAAACTTTGACATACAGGTGAGGTAGTCGTAATATAAATATAGCATAAACTGACCTTGTTGCGTATGAAGCTAAAGGGTAATTTTTCTCATTCACTAAGAAACTTAAAACCAAGTGTAAAAAAAAAAAAAAAAGATTTCATTTAACTGAAAGAAACACATGATTACTAAATCTTGTGTGTGTTATTTTGCTGCTGGCCTAGACAACGAGAAGGATATTTGGTGTCAAGCTTTGGTTTCAAATGGTAAATATTTCCTGTAATTAGATTAGCATTTAAATAAGATATATACCACCATCTCATTGTATCACTACATTCCCAAAACTATTTAAAATAAAAATGTGTAAAAGTTTCATAAGAGTATCAGCTTATGTAACATTCTGATTAATACACACATAACTATGCTATTTAGCACAATTTTGTTAAATATTAAATTTGGTTCAAAAGACTTGAGCAAAAACTAAGAAACGCCTCTTGGTTTGCTTTTGAAGAAAACATGTACATTGTATTAATTTTTGGTTTATTAAACTGGAGCAAGAGGAGCGATAATCTCAAAGGAAAACATGATTAATAGTGGGCTACAGCTCTCACAGTGAATTTTTGCCTACATTCCCAGAACAACAGAAAGACCAACACGGGTGCAGACTGCACTTGGTAGCGTTGTGACTTATGTCAGTTCAAACACTTGAACTCTAACGAGCTGCTGACTAATTGGTTAATTAGCTGAACTTTCTGCTTCCATTGGCAGCCGAGAGTTAGGTGGTCAACATGTCATTAATGTGACATCCCTTGATTAACAAATAACTGTCAGTTGTTTTGTATCTTCAGTTTGCACCTTCTGACTGCTGATGATTTCCAAACAGTCAACTTTTTTGTGTAATAAAGTGTAATAAACATTTTAGCAGCCTTCCTCCTTCCTGCCTTCAGACCCGAACAAGTCCTGGACGGAGGGAAGGTCAGCCGTAATGTTGTGTTCTTATTAATCTGGTCCTATCTCGTATGCAGACAAACAAAGAGACCTGGCCAGGAAGGGCTCGTTAAAGAACAACAACACTGTAGGTAGTCCGGTTAACCAGCAGCCCAAGAAGAACAACGTCATGGCCAGAACACGGTAAGAAATTAGCGCTGCGGTTAAAGGTTTGTGGACGAAATCAGTAAAAACACTCCTGTCTAGATCACTCCAACCATGTCTGAGTAATCAAAGCTCGCTTTACTTCTCTCAGTCCATATGTCTTCAGAAATAGCTATATTGATTTGGGGTTTGTAATGTTGGAGTCAGTAAGCAGACTTCTTCCTGTAGTACAGCTGGAGCTGAGCCTCTGGGCCAGTCTTTAAGACTCTCTCATCAACTCTGCTTGTCATGTTCTTACTGCCCCCTTTTTTCACTCCACTGCAGGTTGGTAGTACCCAATAAAGGTTATTCATCTTTAGACCAGAGCCCAGACGAAAAGCCCCTGGTGGCCTTAGATACCGACAGGTAAGGTGACATAAACATGCCTCGTTTTTGTATGCACACTTCTGAGGATCCAGGAAAAGAACCGCTAACACGTATCTCTGCGCTGCAGTGACGATGATTTCGACATGTCTAGATACTCGTCGTCTGGATATTCTTCTGCAGAGGTGAGTTGACTTCCTTTCTGACTCCACTTCCTTTCCTCCTATTTACTATTTAAGTCCCTTCCATCCCTCGTTCCTTTGCCTCGATTCTTCACGGATGCCAGGAAGGAGAGCATGATGCCTTTATAAGCCAGTCTTTAGACAAGCTTATTTAAGCCCATCCTGCAAATCCATGCTAATTATGTAGGCGTCCTCTCGCACTGCAAGCGCATGATTAAACTGCAGGTGCGCCTGCACAAATAAAATGTTTGAAGCATAAAGCAATATGTAAATGCAATAAAAATGCTTTTTTTCCTCAGCTTCTGCACATTTTGTTTTTAAAGGAACGTGCAGCTTGCATTACAGGGAGAACATGTTCGTTTCTCAGAGGAATCCTAAATGCGATCCCTTTACAGCAGTTTTCTGTCTGGGTGCTGATGTATTTACAATGACTTGTCGCTGTGTGAATAAAAGATGAGGCGTACAAACATTGTAACCCAGTTCATTTGCTGGTACTCGGTTTCTATTGTAACTCTCAGAGTATGAGTGATAATAAAGATCTGGGAGAAGCTTGCATACACTGATCAAAGTCAAATCAATTTTGTGCCTTTAGTGGTTTGTTTGTGTATGCTTGTCCCTGTGGCCAAACTTTTGTTTCATCTCATAATCTTTTTTTTTTTTTTTTCAGAAAGCTCTTGACTTTCTATGCAGCAGGGCAAACTTTAGCTAAGATTGCAGATGTTGATGTCTAAGCAGGAGCTTTTCTGACCAACACCTTTTTAGTTCATACTAATGTAAAATTGGCCTCATTTAGACGAAACCCAGCAATTTCCAGTTCACGGTTTGCTTGAGCCTCGATGGTTCCTGAGCTGCTTTTAACTACTTTTATTTCATCTGATGGATGTCAGATGAAATAAAACCCAGTCCTTTGCAAGTTTCAACCATCTGACGATGGTTGAAACTTGCAAAGGACTGGGTTTTCCAAAAGCAGCTATGGAATAGATAAAACATGCAAATATTAAGCATATGGAATAGCCATGCCAAAATGAACGCCTGAGAGGTTCAGGTTGAACCAGTTTGACCAAATCTTAGTCATTTATATGCACATATATGTGTTTGTTTTTAATAAAAATCACTTATGTTTGCTTTAGTATCATTTTAAAAATAAAGAGTTGAAATGTACCATTAAAATTCTAAGTCAGAGATTCACGCCTAATAATAAGTGATATTTCTCACTGGAACTCTTTATCGAAGCACACGGATGTTTCTTTGCGAAACATTTTGCTTCCAGCTTTCATGGAAACAAGGATACCTTATGAACACGAAGAATCACACCAGGGCATTAGTTGTCGTGATCAAGACAAAGATCCAAGCAGCGAAGCCTGCAGCCATCTGTGAGAGCGCCATGGTTACCACTTTTACATGTTACTAGGCTAATTCATAAGAACAGACAGTCTTAGCTTTTCAACATTGTTCTAGCTTCAGTAGTCAGCAGATCAGTCAGAGTGTTTCTCTTCTTCATAAAGGGTTTTACAGAATATATTGTTTTTCACGGTGGACGTGCTGTGGGGGTTTAAAGTCGTCTTTCAAACAACCTCATGTTAGCAAATCTTTCTTAGTCAAACTTTCAGAGCGTTGTGCTGAAAGTTTGACTAAATCTGTGTAGAAATGAGATCCAGATTAGACCCTGCTGAAATGTTTATTTATTCTTGGATTAACTGTAATTATGATCAGCATGACAACCAGATTTTGCAACCGGTCTGACATTGTCCTCACTCTGATCAGTTTACATTTTGGCAAAATTTAAGAAGACTCGGATGCAAAGACATGCTTGGATTTTTTTTGTTTGTTTGTTTTACTAATGTCTAAAAAGTGAAAGGAGCCAAAGTAGAAAGAGTTTAACCATCTCTCTGATGAAACGTAGCAATTAGTTGCCTATTTTAATGTTTGTGTTGTGGTGAAAAGGTTTAAAAGACCTTTTTGTTTTACAGATTATTACTAATCATTAGCTCCCTTGTCACCCATTGTATAAAGCTTTCAGAAGCCGTTCTTTAATGATACAATCTCAGTCTTAAAGTTGTTCAGTCACTCAACAAAAAATTGTTTTAAAAATGAGGAAATACACATTTGTGCCTTAACCAGATCTCCATTATATTAGCTATTTTTGATCTGTATATCAAGAAAATTTGGTTTCATCTACATCCTATGTATAATATTGGAACGCATTTGTACATAATCCAAATTGGGTAAAAAAAAAAAAAAATATGCCCAAAATTTCTCCAGAAATTCTTTTTCATTAATGAAGTCAAACAAGTTGATTTTTTTTATTGTTGTGTATTCAACCAAACATTTTTTTTAAATATAAACCTGATATCAAAATCTCCTGTTCTTTTTGTAAACATTATCCAGAGACATGTGATTATCTTTTCTGTACTTGTACTTGCTCTGATCTCAATTAACATAAAACTTGATTCCCCACATTTTATTTTGAAAATGTTTTGTTTATGACCTCTTTGTAAAGGATCTAAAACAACATCTAGACACAATCTCAGGTTTTAACAACAAAAAGGTTATAATATAAAATATATATGTATATTTGCAGTGCATACAGCTTAACTTATGTAATTTTCTTCTTTTTAGAAACATTTTTGTGTACGGTAAAAACAACAACACTCCTCTTTGTCTCTGAAGGGGTCCAGTTCTCTCCTGACTCGTCTGCTCCTCTCTCTTCTCAGCAAATCAATCAGGATCTGAACATCCAGCTGCTGAAAGACGGCTACCGCCTCGACGAGATCCCAGACGACGAGGACCTGGATCTGATCCCGCCCAAATCAGTCAACCCGACCTGCATGTGTTGCCAGGCGACCTCCTCCACGACCTGCCAAATCCAGTAACCCCCACCACTAAGCCCATCAAAACCGCTGGCCCCCTTATCCCTCACAAACTTAAACCCGCTGTCTTCATCTGCTGTGAGTTTACTTCGCCACCAGAGTGGCAAAATGTGAGGCATTTATAGAATATTGTCATGACAGTAAAGTGCTATGATGATTAGGTAAATAATCACACTAACAAATAAAAACTTTGGTACAAAACCTTGAACATAGAGGAAAGTAATGGTAAAAGCAGTAAAGTGGTGGATTCCTCCTATGGCTGGAGACGCACTTCTGTTTAAGAGCCGCCTCCCCCTGGCGGACGTAACTGGACCCTGATATTAGTTTACAGACATGAAAAGGTCAGCTGCTGCTGTGAAGTGGTTTCCATTTCCCTGACTGGTAACAAACATGATCATAACTGCTGACTCAACTCTTCTGCTCTGGTTTGCCTTGTTTTAATATATTTTTTTCTCCTTTTGTTTTAATGTATTAACTATGAGATCAACGAGCCTGTACCCAGTAACGAGAAATATTGAATCCCCCTGGTACTGTATCCATTTACCGTACAAGGTTGCTATGTAGCACAGGTCAGATCTTTGAACACTTTAAACACTGCGACATTTCTGCATTTTCTGCGACGCTGGAGTGAAATGTTAAACCACAGAGTTGATGGATGAATGTGTAAACATGAACGGCTGTAGTACAAACTGCATGAAGGCCACCAGAGTGCAAAGTATGGAGGAATATATAAAAGCACGTAGCTTTTGCCTATTTAATTTTCTGTTGTGCGGTCACCTGCTGCTGTTGTGGCACAAGCTTGATTTTTGAATTTCTTTCACTTTGCACTTTTTATTTGAGATTTTATGGGTTCATATCACTCTTTCCTGCACCACAAGTGAACGTGACGCACCTGAAACGATCCGTTTTCGTTTATTGCTCTGATTTCTACTGTGCCTTGCAAGATTATTTACACCTCTTGGGCTTGAGCACATTTTGCTGTCAGACGTAACTGTGCTTTATTGGAATTTAATGTAAAGCACCAACACAAAGTAGATCATAATTGTGAAGGAGAAGGAAAAGGACACATGGTTTTCATAATTTCTGACAAATAATATGAAGAATGTGGTATGCATGCAGTAATATTCTTACAGTTACAGCAGCAAATCTTTTACTTTATGTCTCGCAGCTGTCCTATCTACTGATTCTGAAATTTGAGTTGTGGATCCTTGCAGCTCCTCTTGATGTACCAAGGGACTTTATGCCTGTCCCTTTAAATAAAGTTGTCGTTGTCTAGTCTGTCAGCTTAGGTCTACAGACGGTAAATGGCAAAAAACTTATTTTCTCACCAAATCCTGCTGTAAACTTCTCCACAAATTGATCCCTAACCGTTCCCGGTACGTTCCTTTATTTTCAAGATACTAATGACACTAATGTGATTTTAGCAAACCATTGAAGTTTTCACAGAGCGGTACGATGCACACAGGTGGAAACCATATACTATTTGCACCGGTTTTTATTCAAATGCACACCTCTATTTTAAGAAATATGTTTTATTTTCCTTCCATTTCACAAAAATATAATACTTTGTGTTGATCTACCACATTAAAATCAAGTAATATATGTTGATGTTTGTGGCTATAAGTTGACATAAAAAAAGAGTAAAAATTGAGCATAAATACTTTTGCAAGGTATGCTATGAAGGCCAAAGGAACAAAAGTCCAGATAGATTTTTTCCGTTCTCGGTTTGTTGCGTTAGTGCTTCTCATTTATCACCCTTGTCACAGAGTGTGACAAATGCTAGACGCTGCTAATCCTTAAGGAAAACACAGGTCCGGTTTAAAAGGACGCTCCCTGTTCTCTCACACATGCATGACCAGAACATTAGGCGAAACAACTCCAAACCTTCCTTTGACTTGTAGTTTAGAAACCATTTTGTTATCCCATCGTCAAGGACGTCACTGACTTGGAGCAGAATCCCACCATTTACAACCCACTCCCTTCTCTGATTCAGTTGTTTAATGCAATTAGATTATGCCTTAAGGACAGAGAAGTTTAAAAAGCTGTGTGTATATTTATTGCCATTATCTTTGGTTTATTTGAGGAAGGAAGATTTTTTTTAACATGTAGATCTTTTCTTTGAGTTTCCTCTTTTTTAAATGACTTTTATGTATTGTAAACAGTTCCATTACAGTATTTACCAATGTTATTGTCATGTGCAGTGTATGAAGGTGATTAATAAACAAAAAGCAAATGGAAAACCGTGTGCTCAGAGTTACAGTTTGACTGGCTCTCTGAACTCGTGCCTGTAAATATGTGTGCGATAAGACAAAAAATGAGTGACAGGTAAATATTTAAAAGGAAATAAAAAGCTATTTTAATGATAAAGTTGAGGATTAAATACACAGTGGTGTGTATTGCAATAGCATGAGGTTTGGACGGACAGTTCCTGATTACAGTAGCATCAGAAAAAAACGGGTTTTCCACCAGAAAGGCACCAGCATCTAATCACAGTCACAGACAAAAGAAAACAGGAATTCACTCGGCAAACATATGTAATGTGTGGGAACAAATACAAAAATTAAGCTAAGGAAAGTAGTGATTTAATAAGACCTCTCACTTTGTTAATAGTAATATTATAAAAGATAACCAGACAAGCAAAAAGAAACACATGCTACATGATGGAATACAATCGCTCTCAAAAAAGTAGTAATGGAGGCAGTCCTCAAAGTGCTACGACAAACAATAACGATAAAAGAAAAAAACTGATATTTTTGAGGATTTTGGAAAATGTTGTGCTTCCATCTCACCACACGGGGGCAGGAGGAGGGTATGATATTCAGGCAAGACCAAAATATGACATGATTCACTTACAAAACACAGCTTACACACAAAATAATGTAAAGTTTTCAATGTACAGCCACTGGCACAGTTGGTATTGGAGACAGTCACTGATCTGTTGATCAGTAAAGTGTTTCTGAGAAAAATGCAACATGAAGAATATGAAACGAGTCCATTCAAGGGGTCATCCCCCCCAACCTTCCCAGAGATTATAACGTCGACATTCTCCTCTGCTACAAAGGCACGCACTTCCACTGAATACAAACCTGGAAAATGAAAACGAGCAACTTTTTTTTTTTTTATTTTGCAATGACTTCAGCTAACAAAAGGTTTTACCCTGTTATGTTCTTCTGCACCTCTAACAAGATTCAAGTCTGAATGAAACACAAATGTTGAAGTCGGATCCCCCTCCCACCGCATGAGATTGGTGAAGTATTGTAACTGTATTTAGATATTTTATTTTCCGTGCATGTATTTGCAAGTTCATTGTTGCATAAAAAACATTTCAGTTTTAGCAGCTCGAAGCACAGCTGAGGTCTGTAGCCAAACGTATATGAAATTAAATAGCTAAGCTCTGCGTCTCTATATTATAACTTTTCTTATTACACTCTCATAAGCTACACTAATCTGAATCTATGTCCTGTCTGTTTAATTTATTTACATGGTAATACTGTTGTAGAGTGCATTCACATTGTGTTTGACGGAAAAGTAACTGTAAAAGAAATTGTGTCATCCTTCACACTGGACGATAGGAATATTTCTAAAACTTCAGAACTCGGATTCGATCCACCGTAAGATGCCGTGGCCGATGTTTGGCTGCACCTTTAAATGGAGCGCGAGTTTCTAAGAGCAACACTGCTTATGCAAATGAACTTTACTTTGATTTGACATTCTTCCAGAAAAGCCATAAATGAACCTAGGCAAAAAGAAGAAAAGAATAGCTAGTCATCTCTGCCAGACCCTGAACAACCCTTAATAAATATAAATTACCTCAGGGAATGAGTCAGTGAACTCTAGTTAAATGATAATCAGCTTGCTGTTGCACGTGTGAAAGGAAAGTCCCTGAATATTTGTCTGGCTGACTGAGATTCACGTGGAGGTACAGCAGGGTATGTTACCTTCTAATAAACACCATTCTCATTCTCTCTATATATATATATATATATATATATATATATATATCAATCATGGACAGTAGGTGTTTCAGATTCCTGCAGGGCTTTGGTCCCCAGAGTCGGAGGAGGACATGGAGGTGGAACAGCGCCGTCTCTTGGCGATGCTGGAGCCCTGCAGCATGCTGGGATGGAAGCCCGCGTGTCGCCGGGCGTGTTTGGTCAGGTGGTCGCTCCTCATGAAGCACTTTTCACACAGCGGACAGTTGAAGCGCTTCTCGCCCGTGTGCGTGCGGTAGTGGCGTGTAAGCTCGTCTGATCTGGAGAACTTCTTGCCGCAGTCTGGCCAGGTGCATTTGAAGGGACGCTCCCCTGGAAACACACACACATAATCACTTATTTTTTTATTAATTGTTCATCATACAAATTAACAAGTTTATAGTGTTTTTTCTTTTTTTCTTTTTTTGTTAATGCCTCATAAAATGTCAGCCAATCACAGTACATATATCACCAATAAAAGATGACGGATATTTACAGTTCTTCAAGTTTAAGATAGTGGCTGGTCTGCTGAGCTGCATGGCATTTCACAGTGTTTCCATTTAATCTATGCTGATTAAAAAAATAAAGCTGAAAATAATGTTTTAATGATTGGTTTCTTCTTGTACGTTCTGTCATTTCACTGACATCTGTTACTTAAGACACAGGCAGCAGAACAGAGTGCAGTAAGAAAGTCCTGCATTGAGCTTGTTCTTTCAGTGCTCCTTTGGATTTTCTCCTTGTACTGTGACACAGTCCAAAAACATGACTGTTAAGTTGGTTGGTTGGTCTTATTTTTTTTCCCTACGAGTAACTGCGTGCATTTATTGTCAATTCTTTTATGTGTCTCCGTTTCCCTGGAAAAGATTAACAATCTGAACATAATGTACCCTGCCTTTACACATTGAACGCTGAATCTAGGTCCCAATGCGACCCTGGAAGACATTGGACAGATGTTTGGGGAGGTGAGAGGGTGGGGGGGAACATCTTACAAGTCATCTCAGGAGAGCTACGTCACAAAGGTAATTTAGGGACAAGTGTGCTTAAAACGAACTGGCTGCATAAAAAATAGTTGTGTTATTTTTCCCCTTTAGAATAAGTAACCAAATGTTTTTGCTCGATTTAGAGTGTGTGTATATGAAGATGAGAATAAAAAAAAAAAACACACACACACATGGCCACACCCCACCTACTCCACGTGCGCCACTGAAACCACATGTCCGCTCTTGTTTACAACTGGACTGAGGGGTGTGGAGGTGGGTGACGTATGAGGAAGCGGTGGCGCAGGGTGGGTTACCTCCGTACAAGAACATACAGTAACGACGGGGACGGTTTGACCCGTACGTTTGTAGCGGGTCATAAGACAATATGTTGACCGAAGTAATAGCTGCGGATTAAATTCGTCTCCAAATAAATCGTGACTAGAGTTAATTAGCGCTCATTATGATTTATTACACCCCAACAACATGTCACGCACGGGAAGAACGCGATGTTCCCACAGGAACCCACGTCCTGCTGCTGCGTGTCAACAACGCATTAAGACACATTTTTATCTAACACACGCCTCTTTTTCTGCCTGCTCAGCCAGTGGCAGACATGATATGACCTGGCCAGTCACTCCCGCAGCAGCCGAGCCCACTGGACCACCTGTCCTTTAACGTGTTCTCTCTAGCGGGGACATGTGCTCTGCGCGTACACTTCACAAGTCAAACAAAGATACGACTGTTTGTCCAGCATATAATAATAATAAAAAAATATATAAACTGTGACTTTGGAATGAGTAGCACTACCGTAATCCGCCTGAAATAATAATGAAGGAAGGCTAATTATAGTCGGCTACAAGTGACGCAGCGCGGGTTTGCTGCCGTCGACAGAACCGAGCCGGTGACTTTTTGTAGGCGTGTCAACCGGCTGAGCCCGCACTCACCGGTGTGGACCCTGAGGTGGGCTTTGAGGTGGGACGACTTCCCGTACATTTTCCCACAGCCGGCAAAGGGGCAGCCGTGCTTCTTCTCCGGGGTCTCCGTTCTCCCCGGTGCCTTGTTCCGGGACGCGTTGAGAACCGGAGACACCCGGCTGCTCCCCCGCTCCTCTTTCTCTTTCTCCTGCCTTCCCGCTTCGATGGCCCCGCCGAGACATCTGCTGTCCCCTGCGCCGATAGTGTCTGGACCGCATTTCTTTAAGTCCAATAAAATCATCGCCACCATCAGTAAAGTGCCGTTTTCTTGGCTGTCTTTAAATACGTCCTCTGTCCTCTCCAGAGGACAAGTGGGGACGCAGTCCACAGAGACCTCAACCTCCGACATCGCTGGAGCAGATCTGGGTGGAGTGGAGACAGTCTGTGCAGAGTTTCTATAGAGTCTGATAAACAATCCGAAAAGGGAGAGAAGAACCGTAGTTAGACCGCAGTCCTCCTTGGAAACGTGGCTAATGATCCACACGTGCCGACCTCACAGTCCCTGTCCCGAAAAGACGGAACGTTTCCTTCTGTAGGATGCTGGGCGGACAAATGAACGCCGCCTCAAGAGAGATAACAGTTGTGCTCCTTTCCTTTTCTTCTTCTTCCGTCGTGCTCTTTTTTTCCCTCCTTTAAGCTATTGTGCTTTTGAGACGTATGTTCCTCCGTTCTCTGTGCTTGCACTCCGGCGTCCACTTGTCCTATTTTACAGTGAGCAACAGACGGTTCTCTCAACTCCAAGAAACAATTTCGCGGAATACCGCTGTGTCATAATAGAGCTGCGCCGCGATTGGCTGGTTGCAGCTGTGACTCGCCTCTTAAAGCTGCCGTCTCTCCAGAGTGAGCGACGGAGAGTTGGTCCAATCACAGGCCGGATTTTGTCACGTTGCATTTGAGTAGCGAATATGGCTGGGAAATATGGATTACGAAGTGTAAAATTAACTTTTAAGGTTTTAGATTGGCACTTTATGTGAATATAAACTTAGGTACTTTAGTTGAACGATACGATAATTCAACTAAAGCAACTACGGCTGCTTGTATACAACAACAACGATAACAAAATGATGAAATGCATAAATTGAAAAAATAGTTTGGTCACTCTGAAACAACTTTTATCAACAAATAACGTCAAATCATCATCAAAAAATAAATATTCTGTACTTCTAGTACGTTTGGATGAAAGGCCCTGTGTAAATGTGCTTAATTTGTACTCAATATCGCATTTCTCAAATTCCAATAGCAACAAACTACAGAAAATACGAGTGGCACAGTTTTCATAAACATGAATCTGGAAATTCAATATGGCCACTATGCATCTAAGCTTAGAGATTGCTACAGTAATAGTGTTTATTTGTATTTTGTATCTCATTAAGTGTCTTATCATACTTCGGTTAGTGAAAGTGTTGCTCCAATATTTAAAGGCATATGCAGAAATTCATTATTACTGTATTTTATTGCTAACAGTAGATAGCCTTACGAATGAAGAGTAGAGTTTGGCTGAAGTAAAGTTCCATGTGCTTGAAGAATTCACCTTTTTGCCTACTTGTGCTTACTAGCTTTATACATTGCATTGTATTTACCCTATTAAATTGATACTGCCAGAGGTGTCCCCATGGTAGTTGCACCTCAGCTTAAAAATCATAGAAATAGACTATGATTTGAAATCAGAAAGTTAGTTTATATGTAACCAATTGTCAAGGCACGTACAAAACCAGCCAACCCTGCTTTCATTAAAACTGGAGGTTGGGCCATTTATTTCCATTAACAGACTTGTGGTGAGAAGAACTATCTGTCCACTATTTAAAGAAAGTTACAAATTAAGGTTCATGACGGAGATATGTGTCATGTTTATTAGGTGTTAACTGAAACTAGCTGCTGTAGTCTGTTTTGTGTTATTGAAACTGTCTCGTTTAATGTGACACACCCCGTTAGCCCATTTCTACTGTCCCTAGAGCTGCACTTGAACTCTTAAAGAGATACAAACACATTAAACGTTTTACAAGAAATGAAAAACTAACTCAAGCACACAACTCCAGTAACAAACGCAGTTAGTTTCTATTCCCTGCAACCTTTGCAACACTGCTTAGTTTGTAGTTCAGGAACAGTCATAAAGTTCATTTCTTGATCTTTGAAGATATATATATTTTTTTCTGTTTTCAAGATATGTCTTCATGCTTCCACATTTCTCTGAGCCATTAAGAAATTACAGGAACAAGTATGCTGGTAGTCCAGTTGAAACTGTAATGAAACCAATCTCTCTTTCCCAATCCCTCGCTTTAAAAGAGGGGGGTACTTTGAGTGCAGTGGGTGGTTCATGTGGTTTAAGTTCTTCGAAATTCTGTTTTCAGGGTGCAGAGATTGAGCAATTCTTTGTCTTTGCACAGTGCAAAAAGAGATTAAAAATTAAATGAACATTGGAGGTTAATATCTTTTTCTGGTAAAATATTCTTTCTTTCAGAACATCTTTATTTACTGGCTGTGATTTTTGTGTGTGTTTGTTTTAGTATTTAAAATACCAGCCTTTCTCTTTGGATAACACCTATCTACACTACAGGAACAAAATGTACAAGTGGCTTTAAGATGACAGTCCATAGAAACAAAGTTCCTGTTTGTGTTTCTACAACTTGTGCTGTCCCAACATCACCGACATACGCTCCCCATTGCCACAGTCCCCATTCACACCCTCCTTTTTCTGGATTCAGGTGGAGGACCCCTAAATTTCCAAGAAAAAAAAAAAGTCTCGTTGAACTCTGGCTCCCCCAGCTCTTCCTACAGCGGGGCTGTAAACATTTCAGTGAAAGAGGAGGCGCTTCTGCGGCTGCCGCAGTCTCTCCTACTCCCCTGTTCTCTCTACAAAGTGCAAGAGTTCAGGATTGCGCCGTACTTCTGGGTCATATCGTCATGTTGACACGGTCGTGGCAGAGATAAGGTTGTTTTTGAGTGTGCAGGGGCGCGCGCGCGCTTTAACAGGGAGAGAATGAGAGGACACGTGCAGAACGAACGTCGGTACAAAATGTTCCTATGTCCACGTGTGGCAGTGTGAGCGAGCTCAGCACTGCGGGCCCCGCTTCCTTGAGTGAACAGACTCCTTTACCACCAACACACACACACACACACACACACACACACTTAGGGCTTACACATGCACACGCGACTACACTAGCACACCCACAGGCGGAAGGACTGGAATTCCCAGTCCATCCATCAAGATAGACTGCATATGTCCACAGCAATCAAAATACACTGTACAGTGAAGAACTCTCACTCTTGACACATTAATGAAATTGCATGAAACACATAAAAAAACAAAACATACAATGTAGTCCAGAGTTACTTACTTCATACCTTAAAGTGATACTGCAGGATTTTTGCAGTTTGGTTCTGTTGGAAGGTTCTGCAGGGCTGACCAAAGATCTTATGGGACCTTAAAGCTGCAGTATGTAACTTTTGTAAAAAAAAAAAAAAAAATGCTTTTATTTAGTTATTTGTTAAAAGTGTCACTATGTTGTGACATTATAGTACGAGACAGATAATCTGTGGGGGAAAAAACAAAAAAACAATCAAGCTCTCCTGCCTTTTCCCAGTGCTATCTGCAGGAATACAGGCTTGGTCAGTGGCAATCAATCAGAGCCGGGAGGAGGGTCTTGTACTGTAAATCATTCTTGTGTATGCCCTACTCACACCCACACCCTTGCTTTCTGTTATCCTACAGCTTCTTCCAGACAGCAGACCCTGTCATGGTTGCTCAGGCTGGTTAGCCTGGCTCCCGATGACAGCGGATAGCACTGGGCGGCATGCACATGGGCAACAGAACAAAAGATTAAACTTGTATCATGAGATTATAACAATGTTAATACAACAATATATAAATACTGATTAACTCTCTTGACATCTTTATTCAGCATAAGCCCAAATTAATTAGTCTTGAGTGATAAACTTAGCTCAAGTTAAGTTTATCACTCGATTTGAGTGATTTTGTCACTCAAATTGACTGATGAACTCAAGTTTATCACTCAAGTTGATAAACCTGAGTGATAAACTTAACTGAAGTTGAGTTTATCACTCAAATTGAGTTTATCATTGAGTGATAAACTCAACTTCAATTAAGTTTATCACTCAACTTGAGTGATAGTTGTCTGAAAGAAGCCATGAGCAAAATTGATTTGAACCATAAAACTAATTATAAAATAGTTTGAGGTTTATGCTAATACTTTTTTTTATGAGCCCTTAAAAAAAATGTCACATTTGCAATGCGTGTTTATGCGCTCATAAGCAGGCGATTTATGCTGCATTGGATTTATCTCGGAAGTGGAAGCTCAAATCTGAGGATGACGTCAAGCCGGTAGAGCACGTTCTAGTTAGTTGCAAGTTGAAGAACCAGTGCAGTTTTCTATTTGTTGCGATCTACAATTAGAAACACACACACACACACACACACACACACACACACACACACACACACACACACACACACACACACACACAAGAGTGAATTTCCCTGTGTTTTCTGCATTCAAACAAAGAAGCAACATCTTCTCTAATAGTTATTATGCAGTGTGTATCACTGGTTGAAGAAGATACAAACTGTCAGAACTGCTAATGAAATTGTTTATACTTGCACTTTGATACATGTTGTATATGCAGAAGCTGTGTTGGATACCAAACTTAGGGCTCCGCAGCATCCTAAAAGGTTCCCAGTTGACATTCACAAGAAGAAATAACTTCCCAATGCAAACTACAGTTTAAAACTTCACCAAATAGCAAATAGTGCTACTATGTTTTGAAATTGTCCCAAGACACTGAAAGTCTCCTGTGGTTTTGACTAATTGTTAATTTCAGACTAATCTGGATTTACACCAAATAGAAATACCAAAGTCTTTATCTGCTGCATGTCAGATATTAGCATTCAGCTACTTTGGTTGAATTAATGCATCTACTTTTTACTCGTATTGTCATTTAGTTCCATTTCATTCGGTTTAAAAGAAAATAAATGCAAAAGACAATTAAGTTGTGCAACTTTACTGTGAAAAAAGAAATCATTGAAATAATACATATGACGTTTTTTTCCCCGTTTTTCCCCTTTTACTAAAGCTTGTCTTCTTGAAGGGTAATACAGCAGCTCAAGTTTGAAATATGACAGCATCCACTCATCTGGATGACAGCCAATGAGTACAGGCTTCGACACATCTGGGGACAAATGGACATGATATTAAAATGCTCGTTATTTTTGTCAATTTCTGGCTGAACACAATTTCAAGAATTAAAACAGACACACACTACTCGGATACCAATCTATAACTGTTTATTTAACAATGCATGCCAGACAGGATCCTAGTCACATTGAAGAGTACAGATTTGTATTTGCATCCAAATACGCACTACTTTTATTTCATATGGTAGTTTCTTTCCGTCTTTCTCTCGGTCGACGTCAAAAGTCATCTGTGTACAAGCTGAGTGGAAGAACTGCATGCATTCAAAGGACATAAACTTAAGTGTGACCAATAGGTGGGATACACTACGTCCCTTTTAGTTTAACATCAGCCATTATTGCAGAAGTTTGTGCGTGTAAAAACTCTCCTTCAGCTCACTTGTCAACAGATTTCATAAAAAGGAGAATAAAAGGAACAATCTGTTGATTATCAATAAATGCTCATCTTTCCCATACACCATGTGATATTATAGCATTAGAAAATATTTTTAAAATACTGTACACTTAGACTATATGGAGGGTTGTATCATCCTGGCATGCCTCCCTGTTGGTGTTGTATTCTAAATGTCTGGTTTCACACGTGAGGAAGTCACATTCACATCTCCTGTTGTAACAACTCCGTCCACAACAGCCATGTAGATGTATAAATCATACCAGTTGTTTCTACAAGCCCAGAACAAATCTGACATCTGATAGTCTTTGCAGTGGGGATAAACAACAGATCACAAAAAATAAATAATAATAATAATAATTATATATATTGCAACAGGCCAAAAGGGGAGGGCCTAGGTCAAACACAGTCATTTGTTTTCATACTTTTTCAGTTGAGCTGAACTGTTCAACCTTAGAGCCTTTAATCCCCCGTCTGTCACATCTCAGTAGACAATAGGTCAAAGAGAACGCAACTTAGCCTGTCTCCATTTGGTTTGACAGTTTGGTTTGGTTCAAAATGGAAGCAGCAACTGTGCATGACCAAAGCCTACTCAATGTCAGCACTGTAGGGGAAAAAAAAGGAAATAAAAGAGAGACAAAAAAGTCCCGCCCTTTTGCTTTTACTATCAGCAATTTAGACTTCCGGACGTGAGCAAGATGAGCCAGTATGAAGACATTCATTCATATGCTATTGCTATCTTTTAAGACAAAACACTATATATATATATATATATATATATGTATATATATACTCTAAAATCACCCAAATTCTGGGTTAGACTCATAAAGCACAGTGATTAAATTGGATGCCTTCAGCTCTAAACAAACTGATCTGTGTCTTTCTTTTCTTTCCGTTATTCCACTGTAACGCAGTGAAAGACTTTATTACTTGCATCACTGGGGTAATATTGTCCCTGAGCACTGACCTAAAGTCATCCTTTCATATCCACAATGCAACCCACACATCTGTCGAAGAAGCTGCAAATCTGAGCTTGTGTCAAACAGAGTACGACTCTAGCTCTGTTCGGTTTCTATGGTCGATACTGACCTTGCAATGGCACTGCAAACCTTAAGTGTATATTACGAACAATACAGATGCACCTTAGCTTATTAGAAAGTGATTTTGAAGAAGTTATTTTTTTTTATTAATTTAACTTAAAATGCTATAGAAGGTAATAGAAACTTTGATTTGCTGCATCCAGCAAATAAGAAGCTCACGGCCACTTTCTCAAAAAAAATAAAAAAAAAAAATAAAAAATAAAAATGTTACATAGCCCCAATAAAAAAAAAAAAAAGATTTGAAATTTAGAAATGGTATGTCATGGCCTGTCAGAGCTCATGGGGAAGACTACTGACGTGGCAGTTGTCCAGGAGACAGTTATTGGCCGTTCTAAAAAGAGGTTGAGCCATGAAAGTAGCTGGCTACTCTCCAAGGGCTGTGTCCAAACATATTAATGATGATGAGTGGAAGAAAAACAATTGTTAGAAAGGCGTACAAACTTTAGCGATAACCACAGTAGTGTGAGGATTATGAACTCCTTCATCTTCTTGACAATGATCCATAGACTCTCTATGGTGTTTAGGTCAGGGAGTGGGGAATCCAGCACAGTGACGTTAGAGCCAATAAAGCAAGCACTGGTACTTTTGGAAGTGTGGGACGTTGCCAAATACTGGAATACTTTTGTACTGGAAAACAAAGTAAATATCTCCATAAATGTCATCAACCGAGGGAAATGCTCTAAAAGTTCCTGGTAAGTAACTGTGGTGACTTTGCAACTGGAGTTGGACAGTGGAACAACATGATGACTTGGCTCTTCAAATCATTGTTGACTGTGGAAACGTCCGTGTTCCTTGATAAAATCAAATGTAAAGTTGTTGTTTTTTTTTAAAAAAAAAGGGTAATATTTCATTGTTTAATATGTTAAGTGAGAAAAGAGCCACTTGAGGCTCTATTTCTGCAGGTTGCACACCTCTGGTCTACCAGATGAAAATTAAACTATCTTAATATGACTGAAGCTAAGTGCAACAATTAAAATTTTAAGTCATTGTTAATGTAAAACTGTAAAAAAAAAAAAAAAAAAAAAAAAAGGGCCAGGCCAGTTTTACAGTGGCACCTGTCTAGAATCTTAGTCTGTGTGAGACGTTTCTGATGCGTTCTCATTCAGGAGTCGGTAAGTCCTGGTGTGTGATGGTTCATGAAGCCTCTACTTCATGAACCATCAGTAGAAGTTTCTACTTCTACCACACCTTTTCCTTCAGTGTAGCATGTCACTAATATGCTTGGACTCAGTCCTTTGCACCCAGTCAGCTTCTTCAGCACTGACCCTTTTTGGCTTTCACCTGCTTACAGATAACATTAGACGACTGTCGAGTTTCAAATAGAAGCTTGTTGATCATAGTATGGTCGTAATATAACATTTGTTATAATTTTTGTAGCGTTCATGTTCATTATTCAGCTTTTTCGAGAAACAAATTTTTGGTACTTTGTTAGCTATAAGCTACAATCATCAAATTTAGCCACAATAAGCACTTGAAATATATCTCTGTGTGCAATGAAACTGTAGAATAAATGAGTTTTACAATCTGAATTAAATTACTGACATGTTTTTAATGCTACACTCTAACACATGCAGATGCACCTGGAGACTGAAGGGACATTTCGTTGAGGTTTTCCTTAAATAAATGTTTGGCAACATCTGGTTTTGCAGATGAAAAGCACTGCGGCTGCTTAATGTCTTTTAAACATGATCGACAACTGGAAATGTTTAACAGTCTAGAAGATTTTTGATTGAAAGATGGGGTGAGTGATGCAGGCAAATCAGGTCAGTCAACTAAAGCTAGACAGAAGAGTTTCCAGCAACAGCAGCAACGCCGGCCGAGTGGAGCAGCTCAGTCGTCATGATCACGTCTCACTGTCACATGCAAACAGATTCATTTACTCTCTTAATCCACAAAGCCATTGTGCTAAAGACATCTCACATGATTTTTGGTGTATTTAAATAAATTATAAAACCATACAAGCAATGATGTAATCTCGCAATAACAACAATTCCTCCACTATGTACAGTAGATGGGAAAGGGAACAACAAAAATCTATGAATAAATCATTACTGATAGTTGACCCCTATATGAGAGAGAGAGAGAGAAAAAAAAAAGACAAAAAATGAGACACATCACAGAGTCTTGAATCACGTGAATCCCAACATACTCCATCCATGCCCGAAAGGCACCCTAAGTTTGGTATACTGGCAACTGTGTATTGCCATATCAACGTTAGAAAAATCTCATAAATCGGTTGATAAAACACACAATAAAAACTACTTTAAATACTTTAAATATAATTGAAATGTACAGTATTTGAGACTAATCTATATTTAATAAATATTTTACATCATCATTTAGTGCATGTAGGTGGTCATCCTTTATCATATTTAAAAGCTTAATTAGAAAATACTTAAAATTTGACAAAAATATCACTGAAAACATATAAATATCATTTTGTAATTCAAACAGGCATTTACTGTAATCGTCGCTAATGAGCAAGAAAAATAGTTATAAATAGAATCATCATCTTAAAATAAACACAACATGATCCAACTGAATTGAAATGGTGAGAGAGTGTTTATAAACGTCAAGCTCAAGATAGATTTGAATAATCTCACCTTTATTATCGTCGCAAACCTGTAGGAGATAGGCGTGTTTCTCCCCACCTACTTTTTCCCCACCAGAATAAAAATGAGAAATGTAAAAACATGAATCTGGCCGTCATCGTTTGATGATCTGCTTCCTTCATGTGATCTAAGATGCACACCTTTGTTAAATCTCACCAAAAGTGCATATACTCAATAGCTTATTTTCAAGCTTTTTAAAGAAGTAAATTAATAAATTAGTGCTTTAAAAAAAAAAAGCAATTCTTGTGACCTGTACATAGTTAATATTTAGGCGTGTCGTCCATCAGCTGCTTCCTTTTTAGTCTCTTTTAGGTGGTGTGCTTTGACTTTCACTGAAAAAAAAAAGAATACAACAAATGGGAATATTGGAAAAGATGAAGGACGGATCTATTAGATGAAGCTGGATAGAAAAATAATACCACTGCCAAAATCTGAAGGATGGCTAAAAATAACAGATTTACGATTAACTAAGTGAGGAGATTTTTTTTTTGGTGTAAGTTACAGGCAAAAGAAGAAAAGTTCAAACCAGGTTCGTTTCAAGCCAAGGCTGGGTCGTAGGTTTATAGCGCCCCCTTATCCTCATATTTTGCAATTGCACTTGTTAGAGCTCTGGGGGACAGAATTGAAAAGGTTTCAGACAAAAAGTTGTGTGTCTATGTAAACTCACTATGCACACTTTGATGAATAACCAGTGATCGAAGCACAAGCCTAGAGGTATCAGGAAGTTTTCCTAAATCTGTAACAACCCACTTCATTGTACCCTACAGATAAGGGATTGTTTTAATTCAGAAATAATGATTTGTCAATTTATCTTGAGGATCATTTTGAATTCAATAATAATTTTAAGACTGAATCATATTTTGACTACTTTAATGGTTGCATGTGCAAACATTGGCTACTGATAAATTACAGCAGGGAAAGTAGGTTTGTCAACATTTTTCTTAGTAAATGTATTTCTAAAGGGGCCAATGATGTGAAATTTACTTTAAATATCTGGGCTACCCCAAATAATCAAATGAGTCCATAAATTTAATTATGTGTAATAAAGTGGACTAGAACAGAGTATCATTACTGAAACAAAATGTGGTGTATTTTACTATGAAACCAGTTGGCTTCTAGAAACTCATCATGTTCCTCATCAGTGCAAATAATATCAGCAGGTTTAGCTCTAATATATGGCCATTAAAAATATTTCTCATTATTGGCATGCTGCATAATCACCACAATGGGCAAAATGCAAAGAACTTTCTTGATACCTTAAAAAAATTACTGTTGCAAAACATAGTTAAGCTTTAAGTAATTGACTTCTTTGAGCTTATCATGTTATAGTGTTGTTGCCTCATCAAAGACAGTAACTTCTGTTACTGTCTTTCAGCAACATTTCAGAAGTACCTGAAAGTGTTGCTTTGATTCTTTCATGCATTAATCTCCCCTGGCAACCATTAGGGGGCGCCCAAACACTCCGTGGTGCCCTTTCCATGCAGTTCATCTTGGAGTTGCAGTGCCCAAGATGAGCTTCCACCTCACAGAGCATCCATCTCCCACTAAGCTCCTTCAGACTAGCGCCAGCAGCAATTAGCAAACACCTGACGGAACTGCGCATCTGCTGAGCTCATCATGCAAACTACTTTTCAGTGGAAAGCTCCTAAGAACCTTGTTAAAGGCCTAATGAAGAAACATTGTTGAGATGAGGTGCTGAAGGCGGAGTGTCCGAAAGAACAGCAGCATTTAAAGAGACAGAGGCCCAATTTCACGGTGCTAAAATGTGAAGTCAAATTTCATTTAAGTCTTGTTTGTATATATCATTTTTTTAGAACAACTGAAGGAAACATAGTTACTTGATTGTTCTATAAACTGGCGCTATGTGCCTGAAAAATACACAACACAGTCCCTTTAAAGATGGTTGGAGAAATCTACCAAACCATTATTGTCAAGAATCTGATGATCATTCAAGGGTTGATTTCTCAGCGAGGTACGGTCACAATAAAATAAAGCAAACCGAGTTTATAAAAGAGGACGGACCCCAAAGACCTTTCGGATCTCCGGACAGTAGCTGACGCAGAAACTGATCAAACTTCAGCAATGCATGAAGCTAGTTTCTCCAGAAGGACTGCCTCTTGAAGCTTCATTTAGCAACACAGATTTTCTGCTGAGGCATTGTTAACTTCAGTAAGTGCTTTCAGTACTCAATTCTTCTGCCTTTCCACTTTACAACACAATTTAATTTATGGGTGCACTTTGTTCAAAATTCATGGGTTACTTGGGTTGTTGAGAGCGACAGAAGTATCGAGATGTTCAGTTCTCATTTTCTCTGCTGTAGATTGTCAGCTTTTAAACCTGCCAGTGTTTGAGTGTCACGATGAGTAAGGAAAGCTTTAAAGTGGAACCTTTGCAGCAATTGTGCTGATGAAAAACTACAAAATGAGTTGACTATCTCTTTCCTTGTCCCTTGTCTTTGTCTCTCGGATGTAACAGTGCCTACCACACACTACAGGTAGGATTAACAGTAGACCTTTTCTTTCTAGGGTGGTTGATATGTGTTGCAAAACAGTGACCAATGTCTACTTGATGTAAATTAGGTTGGTGGAAGACCTACAAGACAAATATAACTTCCATTTTCATGGCACCCAATTGTAAGTTACATTGCTACAAAAGGTATCAGCTAGTCTAAATTCATAGCTCTTTCTTTTAAGTGATGTACATAGACCTTCTGAGTCTTCTGCCCTTTTTCCGTTCTCCGCTCAGGATAAAACTGCCGTTCAATGCTGATCACACCTAAACTTTTCCAAATCTAAAATGCAAGTGAATAAAGTATAGATATGTTCCAAATCAGCATCTATGTGCAACTTCATCCTGCTGTTACTTGGCCCTTTTCAGTTCTCACCCAGCCCCTAACAATGTGTGAGGGCGCCAGTGGGCCCTTGTCACGTGTAGTTTTGTCTATCGAAGCTGCGGAAGGCTGATGGAGCTGCCAGCTTCCTTATAGACAGACTGTCAGTTTTGGCCGCGTCGGGTCTCGCTCCGGACTTGCTCCTGAGGAAAGGGTATCTGTGCCCCGCAAGACCCTGTCCCCCAGGCCCAGATCCCCTGTCTGCTCCCAAACCCGGTCCCCTCTCCATCCTCTCGCTCACTGACAGGCTCTTCCGATGCGGAGGAGCCAGAGTGAGTGAAGGATGGGAGTCATCTGAGGAGCAGCTGTTCGCTCGCTCCAGCCTGGAGAGGGTGGAGCAGAGAGGAGCTCCGCTGGGCCCGCCGAGGCCCGTAATGCGAGGAGCGTCGGAGGCTGGAATCAGGTCCTCGGGGTCCTCGGGGTCGGACTCTGTGTGACTTAGCTCTGCCTCTCTCTCCGGGTGAGAGGAACTAATGTCTGACGGCTTATCAAAGGTGAATGAGGTGGATCCTCCTGGCAAGTGTGAGCATTCTGCAGGAGTGTATGGAGATGATACGCAGCGGGTGTCGATGCAGTCGGTGATGCTGGTGTATTCTGCGGCCTTCACCTGGACTCCTGCCCCTAGCCCACCGTAACAGCCTCTCGGCGTGAACATGAGGCTGTGGGACTTGACCAGAGGAGGCTCGTCGAGGAACGCCGTGCCTGCCGTGGAGAGGTAGCGACTGCTCTTGGAGCGCTCGAGCAGCCCTGCTGAGGGAGGTGGAGACGGCTCCGTATCCCAAGGAGGTAGGGTGGTGTCTGGTAAGAGGCTTGCTGAGCACAACGACAAATCAGCGGCCGCGCTGTCGTCATACATGGCTCCAGTCGTTACGCTGCTGCCTGCGGCGCCCTCCGAGTGCCTGTCGCCCAAGCCGCTAGTAGCCGTGCTGCTGAAGTCACGGCCTCCTGGCAGCACCGTCTCCATGATATCTGACTGCAGTGAGGAGTCTCTCTGGAGGGGTGGGACCACGCGGAGGGGATCAAGAAAGACCTCGGCTGGCCCCACCTCCTCAGATGTCGAGACGTAGATATCAATGCACGATGACGGACGGTGCTGCTGGGAAACCGACAGCGTCGCCAGTGGGAGGGGCTTAGACTCCTTGGTGGCGGCGGCTGAAGACACAGATTGCGAGCTATTAGCTCTGTGGAGGCTGAGCGAGCGCTCCTTGAAGAAGCTTTCAGCTCGCTCAGCCCCACTTGCACGTTCAACAGCACGTCCACCCCCAACGTAAAAAGAGTGACTCCTTGCCCGAGCAGTGATGCCAGTGGGAGAGGGAGGGGATATGGAGCCCTCAGCTGCTCCCTCCAATGCCTCCTGAAGGCGGTAGGCATTCCCCTCTGTGCTGTTAAAGCTGCTTTGGCGGAGGATGTATGCAGAGTCCGGGCACTCAGCTTGGCGGAGTATGTACGCCGAGTCTGTGCAGTCGGACGAGGTCCGGGAGCGAGCTTTGTTGACCTCCACGCGCTCAACGCCTGTCACGCGCTCCAGAGCCACAGCGATCCGCCCAATTAGGTCCTCCATCTGGGCCAGTCGAATATCCACAGTCTGCAGCGATGCTTTCATGAAGTGTTCCCTCTCATTGACCTCTTCCAAACGCATAGCCATGTTCTCCACCCTGATGAAGAGGAGAAAAATTCAACGACTGCGTGGCATGATAGGTATACAGTTCATTGAAATATAAAAACTTTAACAAACAACAGTTTAATATTTGGACTGGTTTGTACGATTTTGTATTTACTCCCGTTTCTCTTAATTGGGGGGATTAATTTATTCTTTCTAGTAACGTCTAATAATGTTTTGAGCTCATTTCTTAAAAAAAAAAAAAAAACGAGAACAACCAAATGATAGCAAATTCGATATGCCTGTCATGTGGAAGCTACAGTTTAATTACAGATGCTCTGAGAAAGCTGCATAGAGCTTTAATACGGCACAGCTGAAAACTGACCAACACACAGTTCAAAATGACAAGCCAGGAATGAAGAGTATTGATAATGGAGAGTATTGATAACGAAATGATGGAGGAGTGATAAAAAGAAAGCCATTGTTAGAATTAAATTAAAGTTACTGTGGTGAAACTAAAAGAAAATTACCACTTTAAATCAGCATGTAAAGCACAATGTTTGGCATTTCTGGTCAGAGTTTATGGGAAGATGGATGGAGCTTAAAGACAGTCCACTAATGGAAGAAAATCTGTTAGAGGTTGCAATAGTCTTGAGACTGGGGCAGAGGTTCACCTTCCAGCAGAAAAATGACTCTAAAAGTACAATCAGAGCTCCATTAGAATGGTTAATAGTCTAGTCAAAGTCCAGACCTAAATCTACTTGAGGGCTCATGGTGAAAGTACATAATTTCTTTCCATGGAGGCTCTCTATACAATACGACTGAACCAGTGCCTTTATTGTAAACACTGTAAGGGCAAAAAAATCAGTCTGTAGATGTGGAAAGCAGGCAAAGCCAAACCCCCAAAATGACTTCCAGCTAAACTTGCGGGGAAATATAAAAATGCATTCCACTCTTTTCAGATTTGTTTTTGAACAGCTTTTGAAATCAGACATCTTGTTTTTCTTCAACTTCAAATTAAAGAAGTTAATGTCTGACGGTCTATCAGATAAAATCCAAAGTAAACACGTTACATTTTGTGGCTGCAATGTAACACGTTGAAAGAAAATTCAATAGTAGCAAATATTTCTGCGACGCACAGTAGATTATTTCTGAGTTCTTATCTGACCTTTCAGACGTGACTCTGATCCGTTCGTCATTTGATGAGTGGAATCTGTCGTCTTTCTCTCTGAAGTACTCTTCTATGCATTGCTCCTCAAAGTCATGAACTTTCTTCAGCTCATCCTCAGTGATGAATAGCTCTGTGAAATAAAAAACAAACAACAACAACAAAAGGGAACAATGTAAATTTCATACTAGTACCAAAACACCAACAGGATAGGTATGAAATGATGAAAAAACAAGTTTAAAACAAATTACAAATTTGAATGCTGAACACTCTGCTGTTTACACTCAGTTTTAAGACTTGGTTTAATGTTCATCTTCCACTCACTCAATCCATAGTCCCTCTCGTCGTCGTCATGCTTGCGCCAGCGGCAGCATAGATGCTTTAGGACCATTGTTATGTGGCTGAAGATGATGAGGGGTGGAGGAAGGACCGGCCGCTCGTGGAATGTCATGATTAGCTGGTAGCGCTGGAACTTCCACACCTGGTTAGAGATGGACTTTACCTCAAAAAATGTGTTGCTGCGAATAACGAAACACAAACATAAGATTAGCCATGACTGGTTTACAGATGTGACAATAAAGTGAATCCAGTCGTCAAAGATGCTGCATTTAATGTTGACCAGCACATAAACTAGCATAAACTTGACCATTTACAGTTTGGGTGACATAACAGTCTGGGCTTTTTTTTAAAGATGGGATGCCTATAAAACACACATACAGTATTTTGATTCAAGAATCGACATGCGTTTCCTTATCTATGACTTGATTTAAGGTTTTAAAGGTCAAAATATATGCAGAACATAATTGCTAGAAGTCTTCAACACATTTTAGACATAGTTCTTGGAAGATATTTAAGCTTTCCTCACCTCTACAGTGAGTTTCCCAGCACCAACCACAACATTTCATGTTTCAATTTGAGGCTTTAGCAAGATTATTACAGAATCAGACATAGTTCTGCTGAAAACCCAGTCGTTTTTGATTTTAGATAAAGTTAAAGATGTTTTGAGCTCCTTCTTTCATAACTGTATTTCGCTTGTACAGTGCACCAGTACAATGGAGCAACTATCATAAAGTGTCCCTGGTTTAAAAAGACTCAAAAATGACTTCTTCAATTATACTTTTTCTTATTGTGTGCAAACAGCTTATACGGATACAAATACTTTTACACGGTACAGTAGTAAAAATCAAAGGTTTACATACTTAAACACTGCTATGAGTAGGTTGACAAGCAGTATGTTGGCCACCAGCAGGTAGCAAGCCATGATTGCAGGTACAATCCAAGCACCAGTCTTACATGGCGGCAGAGTCACCACCACCCCGTCCTCTGTGGTTATATTCTGGCCGCAGGGAGCTGCACAGTGCCACAAAATGAACAAACACACACTTTGATACAAGGCAAATAAAAAAAAAATATATACATAGATTTTCATTGATCCATCTTTTCATGGATATCTTGGATGCATGTTTGATAAAAAAAAAAAAAGAAAATAATACATGCAGACGCATAAATTAAACCAAAAATAAAAATGAAATCAAAAGTTAAGATGCATATTAAAGAAAATAATGCCCTAGCATATATTACACTCTAATGAGTGGAAACAGCAAAATTAAAGACAAACAGGTCTAAAGTATCAAACAAAGTACATACAGATACTCTGCAAACAAACAAGAAGCATACTTTATTTTCATGCTTCTTTTATTGAGAAAGGAATTGGAAAGAGCAAATATCATAATGGCAAGGGCTCATGTACAGAAATGGAAAAATAAAAATAAAAATCCACAGAACAACACATTTATCATGTGTTGTCCCCGTTTTTGTTTTCAATATATTTAAACGTACGTTTAAAATATATTGCCACATGTGAGAGCCATAACTTCATTCCACAATGGTTGATTGCTCTGAGATCTATCTGACACATATTTAGGAAACAATGTATGTTTTTCCATCCATGATGGTTCAGTTGCTGTGGCTGATCTAGGCAACATTCAGCATTTGTCCTTGGTTTGTTTGCCTTGGAGATTCAGTGTGGTCATGCTCATCATTTCTCGGTGCTCAATTTCTTCACACAATGTAGCCCAAAGACAGAGAACTGAAGTAATTTCTTTCTTTTTTTTTTTTTTTTTCTTTTTTTTTTTTTTTGGCGTCAAAAAATTTTGGACACAAAAACTCTGACAACTGAACCACGTGAAAAAACAGATTACAGATGATGGAGGGTGAATAATAACTATGTCCTGACATGGATGTGCGCTTCATTCAAATGTAATGTAATGCTTTTAGTAAGGTTTGGAGATCAGTCACACAAAATGTTGGGTTTAGTCGGTGAAATATTTCAGCAGTGGCGCTACTGCTCCGTTGAGAAGCTGAGCTGTTGTTGAAGTAATATGATCAGTGTGGAATGTGGTATAATCACGGTCAGTTCTCCAAATTTAAAGAAATTTAGAAATAACCAACAAAAATCGAGGAAAGAGGCATCAAGGAAATATCAAGTATTTCATGGTTTCTCTTGATGCGGCAGCTGACCAAAAGCAAAGACCGAAGACAGGTAAAAACATCTGGAACGTTCTGCTGCCCTCTGAGCGACCATTGCCAAAACTAGTGGGACTAAAGTTGCTTACAGGGTATAGCCTTAGGTCAAGCTACTAGCTCTTCTCTTCAAATATTTGAATCAGAATCAGTTTTTCTTGGACTGGTTAGTCAAAGTAGTAGTTTAGTAGCTGACCTGAGATACCGTCACAGTGGCAACTTTAGCCTTACAGCAAGAAAACACATGCATACTTTTTTTTTCTTTCTCAAGTGCCCTCTAGTGGTGGGACTTTGCATGACATGGTGGTAACGCGAGGATGACGAAGGAAAGGTGGGATAGGTAAATGTGGTTAAACTGAGGTCTATATGTATAGATTTACTGGAATTTTGAGTGGTCTGGGCAATGTGGGATAGACCACTACTACGCCAGGTTCCGTGCGTTCGTAAGTAATTTTCGACCAGCCAGAGTTTTTCATTCAGCCTTTGCTGTACCTTCTTACTATCTGAAACAAAGAATGGAAACATTATTTCAGATCTCTTCTCTTTGGGCCACTCCTCACATTCCGTACACACCTTTATATACAGTACTATACAAATAGACAACAGAACAGCACACAGACACTCTTCCTGAAATACGCTTCCAAAATGCCTCTCAAGTCAGAACGTTACAAAAGAATTCAGAGACAAAAAAAGAAAAAAGTCCTGATAAACTGTGAAATCTTATTATATGGTGAACAACTTGTCTAGAATTACTCCTACAACAATGATGGGATTTGTCCTATTTACCGCACCTTGCAAATATAAGTACTTCCCTTGAACTTTTTCCACATTTTGTAACATGATAGCAGCAAACTTCAGTATTTTTTATTGGCAAGTTATATAGGTCAATCCATATAGGTGCATGTGAAACAATTAAATATTTAGATTAGATTTTATTTTAAGTGCTTGTTTCATAAAGAAAACCTGAATTAAATGGATTTACTACACAGAGAGCAAAACATTTTGATGACAATGGCTTACAGGCAAATCGAAGATGGAAATTGTTACTATTTCTATCTTCAGGTATGGACTGAAAAGTGTGTTTAAGACTTGAGATAATATTTTATTAACTAAAGGCTTCAAATTTCTTCACTCTTACATCTCTGGTATGTTCTTTGGTCTCATGATGCTTTTCTGATGTTCTCTAACAAACCTCTGATACCTTCACAGGCATCTTACATTAAATAACACACAATTAGACTTTAACCTTCCTATACTGAATGAAAAATGTAATCCATGCAACATTTTTCCTTCACTTTTCAAGTTTGTGGCTTTTTTCTTGATAAAATGTGAAAAAGTTCAAGAAGATGGAAAATGTTTTCAATAAATGTTTGTCTCATATGTATATATATATACATATATATATTTAAAAGCACAATCCTTGAGCTATACAGAATGCCAGATTTTGTCAAGGTTTATCTTCTTTGCTCAGGAAGTCAGGAATTATCTTTCTCCGAATTCAAAATGAATTTTCTCCACTAGCTGACGCCCAAAACTTACGGTCAATCTGGTCGGCAAAGACCTCCCCATAGATCATCCAGTAAGGCATGAAGAAGATGTTTCTGGCCAACATCCAGGACGGGTCTTCGTTAGGATGGAGGATGGCCTGGCGTGCCACCCCAAAACTCATGAGCACTACCAACATGATGATGACAAAATACATCATGTCGATCATCTGACAGAGGGAGGGAGAGAGGAAGGGGAACGGTCAAGACATGGTTGTATTTTCTACTTTTTCATGCTTAAAACATGTACATTAATATTAACATATCTAATGCATTGAAAAGACATATATTCGGAGCTATTTTCATATTGGTAAAACAATGTAAAGGATAAAAATGTCTTAATACAAATATTATATCTTCATTGAATTCTCATCTTCAGAAGCACATCTTTTCTTTTGTGTGCATTTATTTAAAATCCCATATTGAGAATTAATGTTTTTAGCAAAATTACAAGTGCAACACCTTCTTGGTACCCTGTCACCATTTTGTCCATTTTGCACAACTGTTTTTGGCAGCATGAGACTCATTCCTGCAAACATATTTCCTCTTAAGGGACAATGAGCTGAGGCAGATATGTCCAGTGCCTTAGGAAAACCAACCATATACACATCCCCTTTTAAGTCCCTGACTCACCTTCACTGCTTGTTGACAGAAAGCCTAATCTTAGTGCAAAGCACTTACGATTAAAGTCCCAGCAGTATTTAGAAAAGTCCCCATGTTTATGTTGTTACTGTTTGTAGGTGAGAGCTATGGAGCCTCGGAGATAATAAGATCCCACTCTTTGTTGCATTTCTCTATCGGTGAGGAGTGGAAATATTTCTACCTCGCTCCACTTTCTACTCATAATTTGAACAAGATCAAATTGGATTTCCTTTGGATCTTCATGCAACCTTGTCAGGCACATTTCCAGCTGTTTTATTTTAATTGAACTGTCTGATGTGTATACTCCAGACGTCCTTGTGATATTACTTTTATTCCCCAAGAAAATAGCAAGCCATTAATTTAGTATTGTTATTAAAATAGCAAGCCATTATTACTATGTTTACATGATGTTTAGATATTCTGGTGAGCTAGTCAAAAGCAAAGCAAACATGTGCATTGGTTTTCGTGCTACAAAGTGTGAAAAATCATTCCCCCCCCCCTCTAATTACGTAAATATGTCCAAATTAAAGGTTAGATTTTATAAAAATATGTATTTCACACATTTAAAACAGAATATGAGCTTCAATAAAAGTTTGATTTAATATACATGATCATATTTGTAAAATCAATTAGATGACAGTTATTTAACAATTTCATACTTGAGCCGCTTAAAAAGGAATGTTTTTTCTCTGTGTAAGGAATGAAGATCAAGTTATGTAAAAGATTTTTAAAAACAAAAATATAATACAGTTTTTTTTAGAGAAACAGTTTTTTTTTCTTCTTTTTTTTACCTTTTGCTCTAAGTATAATTTCATCTCCTCACTTACTCTGACAGGAAACCAGCTTATGAAGCTGAAGGAACCCATTACCCAACGCCTTGACAGGATCATTTAATGCAAATCCAAATCTCCTTTTCTACCTACCAGCTAATTATCATATCAAAGACTTTAAGTTCACCAGTACACAGCTTGCGTCAGAAGCAGTCAAGCGTCAGATAGTTACTGATTTAGATCTGTGTGCGTAAATCTGAGGCTCTGATCTTGAACTTGTTGAGATCAAACAAACAAGTTAAGAGTCTCGGGGGTTCTCTTTGAACTGGTTTAGAAATTATATACTTGCGATCATGACTAAACAGATGTCAAGGAAGAATTTATTACGAGGAGAAAATAACGATAAAGACAGGAGGCAAAGGAAGCAAACTCCGCTCCCCCCCAGTCTCCTCTCACCATCTTGCCAATCATCATCACGTAGGGCCCCAGGTACTTGTTGACTCCGAAGATGTCGAGCAGCCGGATGTACCAGTAGATGATGTTGACGCAGTAGATGACCCGCCCGTAGCTCATGAGCGGTGGCTCCTGGAGGCGCAGGACCATACCGACGGAGAAGATGAGGATGGCCATGAGGTCAGTGATGTTCCAGTACTCTTGCAGCCACACCTTTACCTTCTGCAGCAACTTCCCCGGCTCTGACATCAGGATCTAGAAAACGGCACGGACATACGGTCGCTGAGCACCGGTAATGAGTCGGATTCATAAACACTGAAGCTGAGAAGCAGAATGGTGAAAATAAATGACCTGAAAAAGTGACAGAAATAGGAGAGTAGAAATGCATTCCATCATGATCACCATAAGAGGGCAGTATGGGCTCACCAATCAGAGAATTTGACATCTGAGGAAGCACATACAGTGTAGCTGAAAATTATGTGACACAATGATTTATACATTTCATACACTTACTTTAAAAAAAAGGTACAGAGTGGGGCAGAACTTATTATATGGCCACAATGTGTTTTTTTCTGTTTACTCGTTTTTTTTTGTTTTTTTTTTTGTGTCAGTTCTGGTTCTTGCTTTCATCTTCATCATCATCCTCCTCCCCTTTTGCTTTGCTTTGATGCGCTTTTTTTAAAATCTCCCTTTTACAGATCCATCACTGATTTTCTTATGCATTATGAACTATTTCATGAAACAGACATAACCCTTGAATCTCCTCTCTGCCACTGTTGAAGCTAATTGAAAGTGTAGGTGCTTTGTGAGTTGCACGTTGCTTATCCTGTATATCTCAATGTATTGTGTCACAATCATGATCTATTACCTCTCTCATCTTTTCAATGCCATTGGTGAAAATGTAAGCAATGACAATCCACTCCTGAGGAGAAGGCCACAGATCCATCTTGACCAGGACAATGTAGTTAAACAACATCAGGTACCCCACATATGCCATCTGCATAAAAACACATGAAGAAGAAAAATAATGAGTGGCGTCACATTTTGGTGACATGCCTGTTTTTTCATCTAAATGTAAGCGCAACACATGAAATCCAAAATACAACCGCGTTGCATTTATTGAAAAAGATAAGAAGAAGGGGCAGCACTGTTACTTTAAAAGGGGTAGTTCAGGGTTAAAAACAATTAATATGCGTCTTAAAAGGAATAACTCCCTGATAAAGTGATCACAGAGGCTGATCTAATGGCTATTCTGAGGGAGACAAAACTAGAGATGCACTGACACTGTCCAGTTTTAAGATTAAATATCTCCTTTTGATGATTGGCAGGTTGGAAGACAAAAATCTGATCTTTTCTTTTTCCAGTCAGGGAACAAACATACATAAGTCATAACTGTTCATTTTTCTACAGTGATGTGTTGCCTGTTTATACAAATGGCCACAGTTTGGAAATAAATGTAACAGCAAAATGAATTTATTACAGAAAATGGTTGTTCTGTTTTTATACTAAATTCTGTCTGTCTTAGGAAATGCACATGTACATGACTGATGTAGTGCTATGTATATTAATAGTGCTAATTGGTACAATTAATTGTTCAAGACCGCTTAAAATGTGAACTCCCTAATCATACTGCATTTGCTTTAAAATAATAGCAAAATCCTGTTGATCTTTAGAGTCCTAGTATAATTATCAATCTCAAAAGAATGGCTTTCTAATGATTTTGTATTGTTACAATACATGATTAAGCAATTCAAGACATAGCAGTAAATCAGCTCATTTTCCTCTAAATGTAAGGCTGGGCTAATACAAAACGTGTTGTTACTGTAGCAATGTGAATTTCCTAAATTCAGGTCTGTTGTTGGCAATAAAAACTTCTTAAATTGGTTTATAAGATCAAAAGTTAAATAGACTGAAAATCTATCATTGACCTTTAGCTGTCAATGTGATCCTTCTCAGAAATAACGACATGAAATATATCTGTATAATATTTGTGCACATTTTTATTTGTGTATTGAAGGCTGGATTTATTCTTAATCAGCATCCTACACTTTTCTATATTAAAACATTCAGCAGCGTTTAAGTTCTGATGAACAGCAAAACCTTTAGCATATTCAGAAAGCAAATTAAAGCAATAATAATAATGGAAATAGGAGCAGCTCATTCATTAGCTGCAAGTCAAGCATAGCAATGATGCAAGTCAGTGAGGAGATTGTAATATTGGGTGTCAGAGACTTTTCTCATTAAATCCCACATGCATGAAAAACGTTGAGCCCGATTTATAAAACCATGGCAGCGCTCCACAGCTGGTGACAAGTAAGAATAAAAATTGTATAATAAGTTGAGGATCAAATTCTGAGAGAACAACCAACCATCTGCTCCATAAGCACAATACATCAGACATACTGTGCAATGTTCCTCTTTAAAGTTGCAGTAGATAACTTTTATAAAGACGTCGTGTTTTGTTTTTACATACTTATTAAAACTGTCACCATGACCTGACAGTCAGTCAGAAAATCTCATATGATACAAAAATCAAGCTTCCCTTGCCTCCTCCCTGTGGTCCTACTGCCATCTAAAGAAACACACAGCTCCCAGCCAGAAGCTCTGAATCAGAGTCAGGAGGAGTGTCTCGGCACTGGCAATCACGCCCGTGTATGCACTGCCCATATCCTCCCCCACACAGCGTGCACAAGCTAAAGATTTCCAGTTTGCTGCAACTGTGCTGAAGGCGGACAAACGACTTACAGTGACAGGAAAATGTTTATCCGCTCTTATCAGTGGCCACGGTAACTAGACTAAGGATCAAGTTACATACTGCAGATTTAACATCAATTATAGAAAGGAGAGGTTGGGGAAGGGCAAGAGTGAAGGAAAAAAAATAAGAAAAAAAAGTAGAGTTGAAATATTTTGTTAGCACAAATAAAAAGTAAAAACCTCTGCTGGCCCTAATGAGATGTTTCAATTGAAGGAGCAAATTGAAGGCATTCAAGTGTGGGGAAACCAACGACCAGCTCGTATTATTCACTTCCTCGCAGGCAGAAACGCCACCAAACAGACGTTGCGCACCAAATTTAAGGGCAACAAAAGGAGCAAAATCTTGATGGATGCTGCTCATGTTGTTGCCATTACTATCTAAAGATAAATTAAATGTTGACTTTATGCGCGGGTTACCGGAACCTTTACGTCAGAACATCACAGTAGGTTTAAACATGTATTTGTGCAGTTTCACAGTAAGTAATCTCATTTTCCTCCTTCCTTCTCTTTTTCTTTTCTCAGCCTGCCGCTTTCAGGAGTCTCCCACTTCTCACTTAACTTTAGCACCTCAGTAACGACACTGTGGAGCCGGGGCCTAATGACAACAGAGGCTGTGCGTGAAAGTAGACATTAGTGGCCAAAAAAAAAAAACTGTGGCTGCATAGTCAGCAGAAACAATTTCCACAGCAGAATGTGGGAGGCGTTGCTGAAGCCGACACTGACCGTATGAAACCAGAACTTGACAATTGGAGCGTTGTAGAACTCGTATATCTTGCGTCCCATGGGGATAAGGCGGTGGCGGCTCTGAACCTCCTCAACATCCTTCTTTCTGGATGTCTCTGTGGTTACCTTACCCAGCATCGCCTGGGCGAGCATGAAGCCCACACGGAGCGAATGAGGGGCGGGGGAGGGAAAGGTGTGAGGATTTCAGGAAAGAAGAGTGTGGGAAGGAAGGGAGTGTGGCGGATGGAAACGCAGAGGAGATGCAGAATGACGATAAGAGAGGAGGACGAGTATTGAAAGGGGGAGGAGGTGGAAAAAGGGAAGGGTTGGGTAAAAGAAATACAAAAAAAAGTGGAGAAAAGGGTTACATCATGAGCAACAGCAGCTTTTTTTTTTTTTTTTTTTTTTAATAATGTAATCAAAGAAGCAAGCGCAGGCAATGCCGTCATTCCAAAAATGTGAAATGTCTGTGTGAGGTGGAGTTCGAGTGAAGGCTGATACTGTAACACGGTATGACGAGGACACAGACACTCATGGATTGTGTCTCAGACAACAATTAGGAGGCAGGAGACAGACAACGAGATAGAGACAGGAAGAGGACAGAGTGAGAGGAGGAAAAAGATAAGACATAGATATCTCATATCAATCTGTGACACAGTTTTTAAATCCATGAGAGAGGGTTCGGAGCCCATTGTTTTTTTTTTAATGGGTCATGGTCTTAATGTAAAAGCGACACCATTTCTCCGAGGGAGCTTATCCACAGAATTGTATTGTAAATTTGAAAGGAGCTAAAATATACAGGGTCAGCCAGACGTTTACATGCACGTCTTAAGGATACGAATGTCATGATCATTTAAACCTCCTAATGATTTATTGATATGTTTTTGGATGGTAACTCAACAAGTTTGTGGTCAATGCAGATTTTTTTTCTATCAACCCACAAAGAGTGAAAATATATACATGCTGGCTGAAATGTAAACAAACACACCACGTCATATTTGCTTAAGCCGTCAACAGGAATCCGCTCCCCAGGTTTTCTGAACATCTGAGATTATTTCCTGTCATCAGATGGTTAAAACCTGGACAAAAAGCTTCTGAGTTGATAAAGCGGCCTATATTTATTTACATTTATGTACAGCTGTGTATTGTATGTTTTGCTAAATAATCTTCATGCCCTGGAGAAAGAATGATTAAAATGAGACTCAAAAATTACTATGAAGTCCATGATAATGATGAGTGTATGAAAACGTCTGACTAACACTGTATGTTTGAGGGCTGGCCCAGGTTTTAACATCGTAAGCTAGTGCTAAACATTTATTTATTTATTTTTTTTTAAATCAGCCTGACATCAAAGAAAATGTGTCTACATGTAAGTACACGGGGACGTGTTCATCTTCCAAATGTGTGAAACGTCGTTTTATCCCAGGCACACACTCGCTGAAATTTTGGCGGGAACAGATATAGGTGCCCGTGTGAAAGTCACACCATGCCTTTACTGCAATCAACATGCTCTGTACTCATTCAAGATGTCACGCAAGCACTGAAACTCATTGCAGAGTAGCTCATCTAAAACATCTGAGGATACAGCAATACAATCTCCCTCTGTGGTGAAGCAGTTGGTGTATGAATCTGTCTGCGATTCATAAGGATCTGAAGGTGTGTTTGAGCAGTCAGAAGCCAGGGCAACAACAAATGGATCGTAACAATGCATTCTCTGGCATTGGAAACGTGTTTTTTTTTTGTTTTTTTTTTTGGTTACTTGTTTTGTTTTATACCAAAGTGCCTCGGGGCCTTCAAGTAAGTGTTACAAGCCCAGTTTTGTAAGCATTTGCGCTGGCTTGCTGGCTGGCTTAAGCTGTATGCAGATGGAAAGTATGTACAGTGGCGCCGAAGACGTACGATTTCAGTTGAGTCACTTCTTGAGATAATGACTTGATCCAGTTTGGGGGATTGAAACGACTTTTCTAATCCCGAGTCTTCGCTTGGAAGAAAACAAACTGGATCAGGGAATCATCACCAGACGAACTGAAACAGAACGGATCCTATTCCTGCTGTACATCCATGTCTATGCAGATGGACCAACTCTTCCACTGTGAGCTGGGAGAATGCACTCAGACTCTGCATGATTAAAGCCCTGCAGCATCCAGCAGATACAGTTATATAATGCAAAAGCCTGGGCCTCCCATGCTCAGCAGCTGACATGCTGAGAGGTGCGCTGCAGCAAACCATCACTGATGGGAGAGAGTGGGGGGCAGCAATCGGCTGGCATTCAGTACTGTACCTCAATCAGACCTACGTTTGGAGGGAAAAGAGAGGGTAAAGAGAGAAAGAGCAAGAGAGACAAGGAGGATTTACAGGATAAAAGTGAGAAAAAAAATAGAAAAGCAAAGAAGGAGTGTGGAAGAGAACAAGAAAGAAGGAGAGGAAAAGAAGGAGAGAGAGCGAGGAACACACACGAGGGAACCCACAGTCGGCGACAGACTGAGACGCTACAACTCCACACCAAGTCTTTGCTAAGACGACGAGAAACAGGAAAGGCCAGTTTTTACTGGAACTGTCCAGCTGGCCAGAATAGAGAAACGAGTAAGTGTGTGGGAAGCGCTGTGTGCACATGTTTGCTCTTTTCTCGTTGTGGATAATCGGAACAAAACTAAAAACTGCATCCACAAGAGATATTTAGAAAAGGCACACAGAATACGGACCGTGATCGGTTCTGGATCCAAATAAAGTGTGTGTGTGCGTGTCCGTGTGTGTTGTCTTGTTTGATTATGTGTATAATTTCTGAGATGCGGGGCTGAGGTGGGTTCTCTCACCACAGAGTTGTACTGCGTCTCACAGTAAGATCTTACTGTGAACTCCATGTCCTCCTCCTCTTTTTCCTTGACCGGTTTCTCTGGCTCCTCCTCTTCCTTCTCCTGCAGGTACGTGTCCTGATCCTGCGGCATGTAGGACATCTCATCCTTGTTTTTGAACTCTAGACTCAGGATGGACGGTGGGAGAAGGAGGCCTAAGATCACCTGATTGACAGGCAAAATGAAAGGAAATGAGATGATATGGATTTGACAACAGCAACATGCTGAATGTGCGGTGTGTACCAGTATGTTGTCAAGCGCTATGTCACCTAATTTTGTTGCGGTTTATTGGAATTCAATGTGACAATTATAAAACCCTTATTTCAGAGAGCCAGCATGGTTACTGTTCTACGGGTCAATGAGAGCAACACCTGCATCAGATAGAAGTGGTACAAACGTGCTGCTCTCAAAATCAGAGCAGCAAAGTCTTAGCAAGAAGGGCTTACAGTCGATCACTGCGGGAAGGAGAGCAAGATGTATAACACCATAATCAAGTGTGCTCTTAGCTGTTAGCAGCTGCATACACCTGCAAACATTTATGATAATTTCCCATAGTTTATCATAATGGGAAATTCAATGACTGAGGTGTCAACATAACAGCTCGTCAATGTAGCATGGTGTAACCCAAGTGAAATGTTGAGTTCCATTTTTTGGTTCGCTACTATTGCCC